TTTTTATGTCTATATTGAGAGTAAGTGATTTGGTAAAGCATGGTCTGAATGATGAAGCCCAATGTAACATTTTAAATGAGATAAACTTGAAACTCACACTCGCTTGGGTTATCTGATCATTTGGAGAATGGCTTATTACTAGCTAGTAAAAGCTATTTGGCCAATGCATCATCATCACGAGACAAGCTATGTTTCCACCCTTTTCCATTTCCGGTGGTGCCCTATACTTTTATACTTTCCGGATAAGGTTTTTTCAAATCATTTTCAGCTTATCGAGCTAAAAATTACTTTACATTGATCTGAGCCGTTTTCGTGATGCTTTTCGACGCTTCGATGCTTATGCTATTCACCTGTAATGTTCAAACTTATATGCAAAGGAAGTGAACTAAAGATTTGCTCTAATTTGATTAAATCTGTCAAATCGATAGCGATCTTGTTTCTGCTCTTTCTTACCAATTTCATTCCTTCTGCATCTTCTTCATTGATTCACAAAAAAAGAGGTTTTGCTTGATATTTAATGGACTAACCAAGCTTGAAATTTATCATTTTACGAACAAAGGATAATCTATTGAGAATCTTCTTCTTACTCTCTCATCATTTTTTCATCCCTTTTTGTTCAACTTGATCCTCATCTAACAGGGTTTTCAATCTCCTCCGGTTAAACCGGTTCCTCGATTTAACCCGTAAAAAAACCAACATGACCGGAGATGGAAATATCTTGTGGCTCTTTCATTGTCTTCATCATTCCTACCTTTTGCCTCATCTTTGTCTTACCCAACCAATCCTGGGTTACCTATTTTTATTTCATATTATACTATTATAATGATCATCATCAGCATCAGGATCATTAAAATTAACATTTATTATTATATTTACCGTTGCATTGTGAAGTTAGAAGGCTAAGAAAAAGTCTAATGTTAATGTTAGATGAGGCTCTGAACGGTTACTTTATTTTATTATTTTCATGTTTTGGTGTGTTGATTAAAATTAACACACAAACATGTATTATAACAGTTTCTTTTTTTCATACTATTTGTGAACAAAATTCAGGGAAGAGTAATCAAGAAGAAGAAGAAGAAGATGATGAGACGATGAAAAAGAAGGTTAGAAAGATGAGAAGAAAGAGTTTGATGAATCTGTCCGGTTTTTTACTTCACTATTTAGGTCATCAAAGAGAAAGCATGGTTTTGTATTTAATCTGGAAATGCAATTTCATTATCATTACTATCATAATCCTTGTTTCAATCAAAAATAGGAAAAGATGAAAAATTCTGTTTTCAGTGAGGTAACAAAAAAGACTACAGTACTACAGGAGGCATTCAGTATACAGGAATTCATGAACAATTCATCAAATCAGAAATTCAATCAATTCTGTCATAGATTAAACCTCTCAGTTTTTCAAATGGGTTTAAAATTTGAAAATAACTGCTTTTATTGATAAAATCATCTGTTGATCTTAAAGGTTAACTATAAATTAATTCCCAATCCGGACACAGGTTTTTACACTCTGAAAATCTTTCCATTGGTATCATACTGGATCATGTAATCTTTACATCATATCGAGCTGGATCTGAATCAGCCTTTCCTTTTGATAAATCCAGATTAGCTAGTGGATTAATTTCGTATTGCTAACCATTTTCAGTCAAATGGTACATGTCAATGAAGTAAAGTTTTCGTATGAGAAAAATTTATCGTATCATTTGTGTTAATTGTATCCACATAAAGACTCAGGCATACGTTAAAAAAAATTTGATGAAATTCTGTACTCATTACAACTGACGTGAAGCATGTTAGCTGTAAAATATTTTTTTCTTGGAAAGGATGTGAAAGATAACGATCCTGTCATTAAAATGATGATAGTGACGATGATGAGTTGAAGAAGGTAAGATTTAAATGAAAGATCCATTTCTTAGGATTTTCAATGAGAAAAAATGCAAAAAATATTTCATCATTCGTCAAGATAAATTGTCCTTAAGGTTGTCAGACTCTCCAAATTATATTACTGATGTACACTTGATAGTTAGTGTGTGGATAGATACCAGGAGTGTCCTCTTTAACCTTTCAGGTCTCGTCAGGATAAACGTTGCGAGATATTTCTTGGAGAAAAAAATTTCTCCTCTTTCTTTGTTCCATCCAAAGAAACTTGTTATAATACAAAATCTCTCAGAGTTTCGGGTTCATGTTAATAAACAGATTGTTGTTCCCTTTGTCAATGGTTCACATCATTTTCCAGAAAACTTGTCTTTCGGCTGATTCATTTAGAGTTACATTGGAAACTTTGCATGCTCTTCTTTCCCCTTGTATTCACCTCTTTTTTTCCGTCACCATTTGAACTTTGAAAACGTCTGTGAAGATTGTTGAATAATATGTGAAAAAAAGCATTAGATGAACCAGTTTTCAGTATAACTTTTGTTGAAACCAACAAGCATAAAATACTCACATTGAAAGAAAGCACAGAGTAATAGTAATCCCAGACAGAGTAATAACCTCCATACCCATCGAAACTTGTATAATACACAAGTTCACCTTTGATTCAGTTCAAACAGATTCTTAAATTCCATGGTTGAGATAATCTTAGAGTTCTTAAAACTTTTATCATAATCTCATCATGAAATAAAATGCATTAGATTAATAAATTTTTAAACCTTACCATGTGAAAAGTAAAGTCACAAAAGTATTAACAAGATAGCAACAATTTTAAATTAAAAAATGCAATATAAATTACGACAAAAAGTGAAAGTAGTGATTCGATTATTAACTGTAACAATTATAGTTATCCGTACTTTTAACACATTAATCAATAATAGTTATCCAGACAAAAGATTAAAAATAGACAAAAGTTATTATAAAATTACTGACATTATCAGCTGACATTGAAAAATAAAGTGTTAAATTAGCACAGATTTTTTTGAGCGCAATTTTTAAAAGATTAATGCCGCATTTTGATGAATTATGATGATAATAAAAGATGATGAATAAATAGGCAAATAACGTTTGTTGACCTTATATTAAATGAAGATAACATTTGTTGATTTAAATGAGGAATAAATGTGAATATGATTGAAAATAAGGCCAGATAGGTTCGGCAATAATTTTTTATCATCATCATGAAAACTGAGTTTTGGATAATCACAGTCAATTCTATGTAACCTAACAGATCAAATATGAATATCTTTTTTATTCTTCATCACTATCATCATCATCATCATCATCATCTTCTTCTTCTTCTCCATTGGAAAACTCACGATGAAAATTTTGATTTTATGAAAGGTCATTAAAGTCCATTTCTCAAGAAAACTTGAAGAGGCCAAAAAAATGAGAAGAAGAAGAAGAATGAAAAAAAGTAGAAAAGGTTAGGCCTTTGTTTACTATCAAGTCAACTGTAAGATCCTCCAGATGATGATAATGATGATGAAGGAAAATAACATTGCAAGATGTGAACAAGAATGAAGATGATGATGATAAGGTAAAAGGTTAA